TTTCGACCAAAACCATGAGTTAACCCCTTTGGAAAAATATCAATTTTTCGATTTTTTTGAACTTCATGTTTTTATAGCCTAGAAAGTTCATTTTTCGTTCTAGAATATCGTAAAAGACATTTTCCCCGCCTATATTGCCTAAAAGAAAAAAGTTGGTAAAAATGGCCATTTTTGGACCAAAACCATGGGTTAACCCCTTTGGAAAAATGTCAATTTTTCAATTTCCTGAACTTCTTGTTTTTATAGCCTTGGAAGGCGTTTTTTCGTTCTAGAATACCGAGAAAGACATTTTCCTGGCCTATATTGCCTAAAAAAAAAGACTTGAAAAAATGGCCATTTTTGGACCAAAACCATGGGTTAACCCCTTTGGAAAAATGTCCATTTCTTGATTTTTTGAGCTTCATGTTTTTAAAGCTTAGAAAGGCGTTTTTTCGTTCTAGAATATGGTAACAGAAAGTTTCCTAGCCTTTATTGCCTAAAAAAAAAGACTTGAAAAAATGGCCATTTTTGGAGCAAAACCATGGGTTAACCCCTGGTAAAATACCAATTTTTCCACCTTTTGAACTTCCTGTTTTTATAGCCTAGACAGGCGTTTTTTCATTCTAGAATATCGTAAAAGACATTTTCCTGGCCTATATTGCGTAAAAGAAAAAAGTTGGAAAATGGCCATATTAGGACCAAAACCATGGGTTAACCCCTTTGAAAAAATGTCAATTTTTCGACGTTTTGAACTTCATGTTTTTATAGCCTAGAAAGGCGTTTTTTTCTTCTACAATATTGCAAAAGACATTTTCCTGGCCTATATTGCCTTAAAGAAAAAATTTGGAAAAAGGGCCATTTTTGGACCAAAACCATAGGTTAACCCCTTTGGAAAAATGTCCATTTCTTGATTTTTTGAGCTTCATGTTTTTAAAGCTTAGAAAGGTGTTTTTTCGTTCTAGAATATGGTAACAGAAAGTTTCCTAGCCTTTATTGCCTAAAAAAAAAGACTTGAAAAAATGGCCATTTTTGGAGCAAAACCATGGGTTAACCCCTGGTAAAATACCAATTTTTCCACCTTTCGAACTTCCTGTTTTTATAGCCTAGACAGGCGTTTTTTCATTCTAGAATATCGTAAAAGACATTTTCCTGGCCTATATTGCGTAAAAGAAAAAAGTTGGAAAATGGCCATATTAGGACCAAAACCATGGGTTAACCCCTTTGAAAAAATGTCAATTTTTCGACGTTTTGAACTTCATGTTTTTATAGCCTAGAAAGGCGTTTTTTTCTTCTACAATATTGCAAAAGACATTTTCCTGGCCTATATTGCCTTAAAGAAAAAATTTGGAAAAAGGGCCATTTTTGGACCAAAACCATAGGTTAACCCCTTTGGAAAAATGTCCATTTCTTGATTTTTTGAGCTTCATGTTTTTAAAGCTTAGAAAGGTGTTTTTTCGTTCTAGAATATGGTAACAGAAAGTTTCCTAGCCTTTATTGCCTAAAAAAAAAGACTTGAAAAAATGGCCATTTTTGGAGCAAAACCATGGGTTAACCCCTGGTAAAATACCAATTTTTCCACCTTTCGAACTTCCTGTTTTTATAGCCTAGACAGGCGTTTTTTCATTCTAGAATATCGTAAAAGACATTTTCCTAGCCTATATTGCGTAAAAGAAAAAAGTTGGATAATGGCCATATTAGGACCAAAACCATGGGTTAACCCCTTTGAAAAAATGTCAATTTTTCGACGTTTTGAACTTCATGTTTTTATAGCCTAGAAAGGCGT